GTTGTGGTTAGTCCCAATCAACTGCAAATGTTAACAGTACATGGTTCCCCTGACTCCACTACAGTTGTAGAGTCGACAAGGCCTAAATCCAGTCAGAAAAGAGGATGGATATTTGCAAACAGGTCCATGACTGAGGGCAGCACAAACAGTGAGCTTGTGTGCAGCTGATCTCTTCTTGTTAAAGTCTGAGTCGGCTTTGCTTTAAGCTTTCCACCATTAATTCATTTAATATGTTGCATTATTGTATTTAAGAGGATAGCAAAGAGACTGCTGCTTAAGTGCAAAATCCAATCCAGTCTTTTAATAAAGCCAAGTCAGGCTTTGAGCTCTGTTTAATCTTCCTTGAAATAAGTCCTTCCCACTGTGAGTAAATGTGCGCGGCCCTGATCCTGCAGCTTTGTGCCCACATGCTTACCCAGAGGCCTGATGGAGTTGAGAAGCCTAGACTTGATTCCTGGCTGCCACTGACTCCCTGTGTGACTTTTGCCACCAGATGTTGGCAGAGAGCAAACAGCAGCTGCCCACCCCATGCCACCAAAATGCATCCATATCTATGCGCCCCTGCTGGCTCTTCACCGCTCTACTGCCAGAGCACAAAGTACACCCTGGGAAGGCACCAGCTGCTGAAAGGACAACGGCAGCTAGCAGAAAGCATAAGATGGTCTTCATCAGGGGTGTCAAACATACAGCCCGCAGGGTGGTGCCAGCCTTCAGAACCCTGCCATCTGGTCCCTGGTGCTGCCCCTAGGTTTATCAGACCCACTCGGCATGGCATGTGGCCCTGGTGCAGGGCCCATCAGTGGGATGGACTGGATCTGCAGCTCCACTGCTTTCTCCTCTCCCACTGCAGCATACCCGATCTGGCAGCTGCTCTAGCTGGTCTGGGACCTGTGCTGCGCCTGGGGGATCCTGGAGCAGCTGTAATGGGTGCCATGCATGGCATAGACCTGTCGGAGCAGCAGACACGCTGCACACGGCTGCCCCAGACAGACTGCATGGCCTGCCTCACGTGTCCTGCATGACACCTGCTCCAGCCAGTCTGTCCAGTGTTCACGGGTACTGTGTGCAGTGCGGGTCCCAGACTGGGGACTGCACCGTGTACATGGCACCCATTCTGCCTGCTCCGGGCCTGCGTTGCACATAGCGCTAGTCCCAGACTGGTGGAGCAGCTGCCAGATTAGGTATGCTGGCGGGGGCGTGGCGGGAGGGGTCTTTCCAGCTGCAGACCAGCTCCACACCACTCATCCAGCCTGCAGAGCTTGGCGCTCCTGGTCTATGTGCTCCTTCTGCTGGCTGCCAGATAGCAGTGAAAGCTTCACCCCACTTTTCTAGTTCTACCTTCCTAGATGTGGTGGAACTGGGTGAGCAGGAAGGAGGTCTCTGCTGCCAGAGACGAAGTTTGGGCATGGATGCCCTGAAGTTTTCGGGGCAAAGCTAGGCCTCCCGTCCCTCTTTGTAAGATGATGATAATACGTCTGTTCTTTTGTATTTGGTCTGTCTTGTCTAGTTAGACTGGAAACTTTTTCGGGTCAGAGACTCTGCCTGTCACTATGTATATACAGTGGGTAGCAGGCTGAGGACTTGACCTCAGCTGGGAATTTTAAGTGATACCAGTAATGATATCAGTAATAATAGCAGGCCAGCACGGCTTTCAAACTAGCTCGGGGCTGTGACTGCGCATAGGAGGTGTCTCTAAGGAAGTGGGTGGGGGGAAGAGGAAGGAAGGTAGAACTAGAAAAATATTTACAAAGTATTAAGTTGCTTATAAAATAATAACATTATTTTGTTAAACGTGTTAAAGTGTTAGAATCCATCAAATCTGCCATTCCCTGTTATACAGTAATGCCCAAGAGTGTAAAATTTGAGGGGGGGGAAAATCTAGCTTGCTTTCCACAATATCTGTTGTTTGCTCATTTTGTGCAATCCTCACCATGAGGACATTCTCAATGCAATATCTTTGTTTTCTACTTGATTTCATCTTTGTCTTCTCTTGCATAATGCAAAACTAGTAAGGTTGAGTTTAAAGCTCTGCATGGGAAGCTTTATGTCTTTTTATTTGTTTTTTGTTTTTTTAACTGTTTCCATTAAAACTTTTTTTACCTTCTGTAGAAATATTTTTTTTGTTTTTTGACAAACATTTAATTCTGAGTCAAATCTGACCTGACAGTTTCCTTTGAAAAATCTTTTTTAAAATCACTTTTCCACAATCTCCAAATGATCTTAACTGGCAAGCTCTAATGGGGAGAGTGAGGTGAAAATAATTTGTATTCATACTGAATAGCAGACACATGCCATTAGGCATTATTGATTTGTTCATTTACACAATATACTTTTGTGCATTTTTTAGTAATTAAAAAGCACTAAGGGATTAGATTGCTAGGCTGATTAAACTTTCCCAGGCCTCAGATTCTGAGCAGAGAGGATAATTTTTTGTGGCATGAAGAGGAGAAGGAAGGGAAAAGAGTAAGAACCTAAGTATTACCAATTCTCATGATTTATCAGTAAGTTTTACAATATATTGTGTTTCACTTAAACCTCAGCTCCTGGTGTCTTGTGACACTTTTGTGAATGTTAAACTTTGGATCTTTCCCTTTCTCTCGTGCATCAAGTCACCTTGTATTGCAGGGGAAGGAAAAAGAGGGGCCATTTCTTTTGAGAGGGCGGTGGGCAGCAGAGGGAGGAGAGTTGAAGTGAAAAAAAGCAGAGAAGATGCTCACAGTTGTATGCAAAAATTGGCTGAGGGTTTAACAAACATCTCTCTGGGGCTTTATGCTTGTGCTAATGGCCTGTGCACTTGAGCATCTTTTTTATGGACAGCAGATACATGTTTTATCATTCATGGCATGGCAATAGTACCTGGAAAGTTCAGGGCCACAACTTGCATACAAAGGTGCATCCACATGATCTCCCATATCCCCCAACTGCACCAAGTGAACCTATGTAGCTGCTTTAGAGTGGTGCTGAACCTGGGTCTAGCGCTGCTCTTCACCTCTGTTTTGCGCATGCTTACTGGCCTGTCCTCAGGTCCTCTCTGAGGAGGCTAAATCACTTTGTTTCCAAGTGTGGCGTGACCTGCGTGGGAGTTGGAGGGCAAGAAATGCTCTGTGGCACTACTCCCGGGCGTGGGAGCAAGTGTAAACCCATCCAAATATTACAAGTCAGTCCCTGCCCTGCATTGTTGCATAGGGGGATGCACAACAGGTGAACACAGCAAACAGAGAAAAGGAGGAAGGTATTTCATAGTCCCATTCATTTATGGGAAACCGTTCATGTGTTTAAAACCATGCACGTGATAAAATGTTCTGCTTAATAAGGCCCTAATGTAGAAACATTACTTTAAACATGTAAAATATTGTCTAAGTGCTAAGCAGCCTTTTCCCCTCAAAAACAAAACACAGGCTCTGTATGTGACATGTAGTTTCAATATGCAGTTCCCAACATTTCTTGTAAAGTCAGGCAGCATATAAAGTCAGAATTATCACAGAATCGTAGAGAAGTGGGGCTGGAAGGGACCTCTGGAAGTCATCTGTCCAACCCCCTGCCCGAGGCAAGATCATCCCTGCCCAAATTATCCCATACAAACCGTAATCTAAACTGTATGTACAGCTCATTGACGTACCTTTAAATAAATATGTAAATATAACACTTTTTTATATCTTATTCAGACCATGAAATCTTAAGACTTACGCGGTAGTAGAGTAATTTTAATATGACTTGCAATTATTATAATATGGTTATTACATTTTAATTAGTATAATTATATGTATTGATACAACATTTTTTATGGCTCTTTTGGGAGATGTTAGTGCCGTCTACTATTAAGGCCAATCAGCATTACTCATTACAAGTCCCTGTTTTCAAGGTGCGTGTAATTGGCTAAACTATAGCTATTTGGACTGAAATTTTGGCAGGTGTGTGCCTCACATTGAATTTTTGGGGGATGATTTCAAGCGAAACAGTTCAGTCCTTGCTAAAAATAAGGTGAGGGGAAACGCATTGTTTCACCTTTGCTAACAAAAAATTCCATAGCCGTTTCTTTGAACAGCTCTAGTGTCCGCAAGTTTTGGAGCAGGGGGGCTCAATATCTGGCAGAGGAGTGGCCTTTGTATTGGGAATGTGCCTTTGGTCCTTGTGCAAATCTACCCCAATGTAGCCAAGACATGAGTTTTTGAAAAATCATAGTTTACACATGCTCAGTAGAGATTTAGGCCCCCAGCATGCATTCATTCAAAGATGTAGGGCAGGCAGCATGATTTTGGGATTGGGGATCAGGTCCCAATGGTACCCTTTCTGCTTGTCAGTGGAGGAGAAACCTGGGATTATAATCCCAGTTTCCCACCTATATCAGCAAATTGAAAGTGGGTGCTTGCAGGGGCTAACAATCAGCTGATTGTCAGCCCCTGCCTCTGACTGCATCAGGACTTTTGACCTCCCTGCTGTAACACAGGCAACCCAAGGAGGGTTGGGTTAACATGAGGGTTAGGGGTTAGGGTCCACACCTAGACAGAGCAGGGAGCAGCAAATAGGAGTGGATTGGAACCAGGAAGCTAATGAGATCAGGATGAATGGTTTCACTCAAGTTAACAGGGTTAGCGACCTCTCAAAATTGCACATGTTTTCATGCTATTGTGGATCAAGGTCTGACAGGTTATTCCTCACCATGCCCCTGAGAGAGTGGCTGGCATGAAGCTGAGAATAGGTCAATGTCAGCATCAGGATGAGAACTCGCGAGCTGCTGTCTCCGAGGACTAGAGCACACACCAGTGAAATGAGCCCCTGGGTGAAGTGGGATGAGTGAATTGTGTTGTGTTTAAATCAGGGTGAAAAAAATTCAGGCAAATTCCTGACAGGCAGCTTCACCACAAACTGATAGAAAAACTGCTCAAGAAATCACCTCAACCATTTGTCCATATTTGAGCATATTCTTGTACAATGACAGAACATATTCTTGTACAATGACTAAAAGGCATAAATATGCATCTCTGGTTCTTTTTCCCTAGGACTTGCTTCCTGGAATTGTTACCTCTGCAAGGCTCTGTGCCCATCTTTGTTCCGATATGAGCAGATCAATCAGATTTCAGGTTTGCTCGGTCACCTGCATCATCCTGCTCATATCCTCTAGCTGGCAATGCCTGGCCTTCCAGAGACTGGAGAAGAGAGACTCAGTGCAGGTAGAGCAAACTGCCCTGGCAGGGAACGAGTTAAAAGAAAGGCTGAACACGCAAAGCTTGGAAAATAACCTTGGCCTCTCTGAGCAAACCACCAGTGATCCCATCTCAGAAGAGCCATCTGGAGTGTCAGCAAAGCCATCTGGGACATCATTAAACAAAGGCTTCACTGCAAGAGGAGAGACACAGCACACCAGTCTTAGCGGTAATGTTTTCCCAGACGGTAAGAGCCTGGATGTTTACACCCCTACGGTATCAGTGGTTGCTACAGATAAAAAGGAACTTAGCCCTACTAGTCCAGACAGAGAGCTGAGTGAAAATGGACCTATGAAGGCCATGCTCACAACAGCGGTGACTACCCTAAATCCCAACATCAGCAGTGCTGGTAGCAAGACAACAGCAGGGGAGAGCAATGAAGCAGGACGTGGCTTTTCTGCCTATCTAAATAACCCAGTTTTCATGACGGCTGCTACAGAAGAGAAGAAGGCTGAAGGGAACGCGGAACAGTCAGTGACAGCCCAGCTGAGCAGTGATGAAATGCCCACTTTGCTCCCCAGCTCCCGAACCTTAGATGTGGCGGATGACTTCCTGGCAATCCCTGCACCTCTTGTTGATCAAACTGCTGAATCTGAGCCTGGCACACTGGTGCCAAATGTAGCCAGCACCTTGGAGCGGACAGCAGCAGAGGGCCCTGATTTCACTGCAAAGCCCTCTTCTCTGTTCACAGATGCCTCCCTGAATTTGGAAGCAGGACCTGACAATGGGCATGGGGGCTTCCATGCTACAGCTAGCATGGTCACAGTCCCACCAGCTGTCCCTGCACCGACTGATGACTGGGATGATACAAAAGTAGGGAACATTAACCAGGAGAGGGGCACAAAACAGGAGGAGATAAAGTTGGACCACATGGTAACGGAGCCACCTCAAACAGCAGCAGGAGACCTTGAGGAGAAGGATATGAAAGGACTGATGCCATTCACAGCTTCTGCATATGTGACTACTGTGAACCTAGATGAAAATGATCCTGCTGGGCCAAGTCCGATATCTGTGCAGGGGAAAGAGATTTCAACAGCTTCTGCTGACCAAACAGTGGTTTCTGTCCTCAGCACCCTGACTGCAGATGAAGCAACTGCCGCAAACACAGTGGAAAATACAGAACCCATGGAGGAGAGGGAACGTGTCTCTCTACCATTGCCAGAGGCCATCACTGATATGCAATCTGACGTCTTCCAGACTCTAGCAAACACGTTAAAAGGTAACTTGCCGACAGCTGCCAAAATAACCTGTGCTTGCGCTCCAGTGCATATACTGGGAGAATTGCTGTTTGTTATTGATCTGCCTCCTTGAAATCAAGGAAGAAATGGGAACAAAAAAAGGCTGTGAGCCATACCTAGGATCTAATGTGCATCTGCAGTAGAAATATTTAAAGAGGCACTGCCAACATGTTCGCGTCTGCTGTAGTAAAAGTGAAGATTGCTAGAAACGAATGGTGTTCCCAAATACAGTTTCCCCATGACACTCCTGCACGCTCCAGTCTTGTGGCTGTGGATCAGCTGCCACCTTCTGCCCTAGTACCAGAGCTCCCTTCTGCCCTGAGTCAACCCAGGTGCTCTTCCTCACACCTGGGCAGAGCGTGCATCCAACAAGGGCAGGAGAGTAGAGGCATAGCAGACAAGACATCTGGGGGTGAAGGCTGTGTCTCTGGGGGATCCTCATAAATACCCTCAGGGGAGCAGACATTAGAAACCTTTTTTTTTAAAAAAAATCCTCTTAAAGGTTTCTTAAAAAAAAATAAGCTGCAGGTTTCTGGGGCACGTCAGAAATTCTGGCTGGCAGTGTCACTCTTTCCGTGTGGATTTATTGTATTTATGTGTTCCTTGCCTCATGCAGTAGGGATTTCTGATTCATTTAGGAAAAGGAGGCCCTCTCTGCTAGCAGTATGTTAGTGCAAAGGCCAGATCCCGCCCTAGTATAACCAGGTGGCTTCTGTGGTCTTACCTGCTTTTAAATTGTGATAGCTGCAGACTGAAACTCGGTGCTGTAGAACGCACTGAACCATCTGATAACTGGGGACAGCTGTCTCTGTAGCATCTGCAGCCTGTGATATGAAGAAGTCGAAGGCTCGATGCATTGGTTTCGCCGTAGTAATGGGAGCAGATAACAATCAGCCTGGAGCCACTGACGCTATCCCTGATGATGCAGGAATGGAAAAATTGTTGGCTCTCAGCCCCTTTGTCCCAGGGTGAGTGCAGCGGCAGCTGCTGCTGCTGCTGCTGTAGTGCTTTGCAGACAGCCTGGAATTCTGTGGCCCGGCTCCAATTCTTGGGCAGGTTCTGTGATGCTGCAGATAGCTCTGGGCCCTTGCTATAGGTTCAAACAGGCTCACTGTGGCAAAACTGCATAGGGAAGGATAGCACGGGGCTTGTCTAGCTCTCTGGCTACTGCCATGGCTTTTGCATTCTAGAGAAAGCAGGGAGACCATGCAGTGGGTTGGGAGTGTAATACCTTTACCCTGTGAAGGAAAGCAGGTGACTTCCCCAGATCAGTGCAGCATTGCTTTTTCATGCAATGACCAGTGGATGCTGCTGTCATTTACTTGTATTGCCATAGCACCTAGGAAGCTAGGACGCCATGGTGTTAGGTGCTGTACAAACTACTGTAACAGAAAAGAAAAAAAAGAAACCCACCCAAGCCCCACCCGTGCTTCTAGGAAAGGAAAAAACAACCCAAAAATCTTGTGTATTGGGTCTGCTGTTATGTGAATGTTGGGTCAAGTAATCAGTTGAATCCTATAGTCACTTTGGACAACTGAGCTGGTTCTCTTGATCAAGGGATTGTCTCAGATGATAAAGTTAGTGATGGGTATAAAATAGGACCTGTGGGATTTTATTTCTGCCTTTCACTGAAGACTTCAGCAAAACCCCTGATGTCCCAGAGCTGATCATTGGGCTGCTTGCAGTCACATAAGCCTGGTCAACTAAGCGTGCTTATGCTGAGTGGTATGTTCTGTCCTGATGCAGCATGAAGTCCTGTGCAAAGCGCAGTACCTGTTCAGGGCTTTATTATCCCAGTGGGGCTTGTGGGGTAACTGTGGCAGAAGCAGACCCTTGTGGAATAAAAATCCCCCTAGTTGTTCCCAGTTGGTATTTCCTTTTCACCTCTCCCTACTCTGCACCTTCTTCATAGCATCTGGGGGGTAGCTGTGTCCATTGTTTACAACTTGATTTCAGAGATGCTAACGTGCCAAGGTTTTCCGTTCCCTCAAACAGCTGCTCCTGTTTGCTGCATGCTTTTGATCACAATAATTACTCAGTTCGTGTACAAGGCGTCAGTGCTGACAAATGTTACTGCTGTAGGTGTTACTCAGGAAACGACAGTCAGTCAAGAAACCGATGCTGCTTTGCCTGTCCTGACGCCAGCAGACCTTGCTACGCATGGGGCCATGAGTGCGACAGAGGAGGAAAGTAAGCTGGCAACCCAGCTACCGGATGTCTCTGGTGTCACCCAGCTGTTGAGTGCAGACTATCCAGCAACTCTCGTCTCCTCCACTGCCTCCCATTTGTCTCCTGAAAAAACTCCAGAAGTTGAAGGTAGGCTTTGGTGCCTCCACTTCCATGCAAAATTTATTTTTTCCATAAGAGAAAGAAAGTATTAGGAGTTTTGTTGTTTAGGATGTGACAACGAATTTAACACAGAGTTCTCCTACATCTTCTTAACAGCTTGCCAGTCTCATTGCAAAAAAGACCTTGCTTTGCTAGGGTATTGATGTTGCTGTCAATTCTCCTCCAGGGGCTGGTTCTGCAGCTTCTGCTGGTTTGGAGAACCCATCTACACCATCAAAGTTGCTGTGTTTTAAATATGATTGGTTGACCTGATTGTGGCCACACCGTGCAGGAACATTTTCATTGCCACTGTGAACAGGGAAAAATCTGTTTATAACTAAATCAGTACCAGGTTTGAAGCTTGGTAGATACTGAAGCTAAAGACCTGTTCTAACATGATCATAATTGTTTTTTTCCCCCTTTTTTTTCATTTCAGAAGAGTCAACCAGGTTAAATGTTCTTTGGCCACCACCATCTTAAAACATGGCAGTTTTATTTGTTTTTTTTTGGAAGTGTTGGGGGTCCCGACGTGAGACAAAAATGTTTGATTTTTCATCACTGGAGGAACTGGTAGGGTGGGCACAATCCCTATGCTCCAAGATCTGCGTCAGTATGTAGCTCATTTCAGAGAGTAGTTCCATGGTGTTGGCTTCAACCTACAAAACCCTAAGTGAGCTTTTTTTCCATTCTTCTTCAGGTACGGACTCCTTGCAGGGCTTTATGTACAAGGTGAAGGTAGCTAAGTTAGAGTTTGAGATAACATGTCATCTTTAAGGCAGCCCTAGTGGGGAGCACAGAGGTATAAGGATTGCCCATGTCTGCTAGGTAAGTGTTGCCCCTGTGTTGGTCTGGTATATAGGAAAAAGCAAGGATTTGGTGAAATCTCCCTCAGGAAACAAAAAGACAGGGAAGGATGAAGAGTGAGCAAACGTTTCCCCCCCCCAGCTCCTGCTGGAGCCTAGACAGGAGCTTCTCTTTGAGCCATGCAACTATGTGCCTCCTGCCCTGGTGCTGAGCATAGACAATGATTCTAGCCCAATGGGAGAGATGATTGTTACAGGTCTTTCTGTTGTGGAACAGTATTTTGAATTCAATGGGCAGATTTTTGATGGGATGTAATTACTGTAGATATTCTCTGTTTCCTGATAGGCTTTTTAAGTCCTTTGGGGTTCAATTCTGGCAGAGCAGGAGAAACTGTTGCCCACTCAACCAGAATTTTTCCAGGCATCACCTGGGGAGCTGTACACAATGGCACAGTCACTACAACTACAGCACAGGCTTTCTTTCCTACCAGGCTAGCTTGGCAGGACTAGGAAAACCAACGCATCTAATAGATTGGTTAAGACGGAGGAACACAATGATATTTCACCCATGGTGAAAGAGTCTGGGGGCAGCCTTGATACACTGGTGTTCTGTAGTGTGCAAATTGCCACTCAAGTTAGATCGTTTTGAGTGAGGATGTTCTGTAGGGAAAAAAAAAGGACTCTGTTCTAAGAGTGTCACTGTAATTAATTCACTTCTGACGTTTAATTATACATTAATCATTTGTAATCTTTTCTCTTTACAATAAACAATTCCAGCTGTCTCTTGGTTCACAACTTGATTTATGCCTTTGAAAGGCTCTGAACTTGCCCCAGTTTAGCGACTGACACCCTTCGCAGTGGCATAAAGTACAAAAAAATAACAGAAGTCTCGTTACGGGAGGTCTCTGTGCTGTGAGACTTCTCTCTGAGGAATAGTTTGTCATTATGGCGGAGCCGGCACTGTTTCATAGTGGGAGCTTTTGCATAAAAGAGATGGCGTTCAATAATTTTTTTTGTTTTAAAGTGAAGCCTCCCTGTAAGACTGAATTCCCTAATCATTACTGAGTTTTTCATGTCACGACTTTGACTTTGTGACAACCATCCTGGTGGGCATTGCTTCTCCTTTAACAGAGCTGGTCACCATCTCCAACGAGAAGGCTGTCCCTGCCCTTGCTGGACCTGATGCTACCCATGCCAGAATGGGAATGCCGACGGAGACCACCAGTAGGACCACGGTCCTGGCAACTCCAGCTTCAGTGGTGTCGTCTGTAAGGAGGACTGTTGTTCCATTTGTGAGGAGGATCAGCACGGCTGTAACCTATGGACTGGACCAGCTGGAATCAGAAGGTACCCCCTTTTTCAAAGGCTGTTGAGCAAGTTGCTTAAATGTGACACTTCAGGCCATGATAGTTGATTTTCCTTAATGTTGTGTTTTTGACTTGAGGAACTCTAAGCATGTCTTTTATAGGTGCAAAGGGAAACAGGAAATCTTGTCCCCCTTTCTGAGGGACACTGGAGACAATCAGCTGAGTGCACTTACGAAGCTGTGGTAGGACTCTGCTGGGAAAACCAAGAGGTTGGGGAATAAAAGAGTTTTCCTGGGAGGAAGGAAATCCCAGGGGCATTTGATATCCATCAGGCATCTGGATGGTCAAAAGGCCTGTTTTGGACTTGGTATCACATGAGTAATTCATCCCAGAGGCATAACTGGGTAGTTCTGTGCCCTTGGCTGTGCTTGCCCATAGAACAGGGGCAGTGGCCAACAGAGATGTAGCAGGATGAGCCACTGCTGTGGGGGTTAATGTGGAAGCCACTGCTAAAAGGCACGTCTAGTGGTGATTCAAAAGCCAAAATCATGTGGCAAAAAAAAGGAGAGAGGTTAACCAACACTTACCTCTGTGGGATTGAACCTCTGGTCAGCACCAGTGCTGTGGCTGTTGTTCACATCGCCTCACCTGTCTTGTGCCCAGAGCTGCACCTGGCTGTCAGGGCCACTGCACGGAAAAAGTGACGGGAGGGAGGGGCAGGGGCAGAAATCATGGAGGGGGTGCTGCCTCTGGCTACGTTCTAGTATCCCCCTTAGGCAGTGCTCAGGGCTTTTGCCTCACTTGCCTGCCCTCAGTTACACCATACAATGATACTTAAAAGATCAGCTTGAGCAATTTGAGAGCCCCTCTCACTCTTGGATTCTAACGTCTTCTTCAAAGAGATGCTGCTGTAGGAGAGTGAAAGCATTGGGGATGGTGGGGCTGGGTTAAACAGCAACTGTTGTCCACCTGCAGAGTCCATCACTTTTGATCTCCTCCTCATCTTGCCATCCTCGCGTCTTCCCTGGCATCTGTTCCAGGAGCCACCAAGACTCCTGTGCTGTTTCCACACTCCTGCTTTTCTGACTTCTGGGTCTCTGCCTCTCGTCTCTCCTTACATCTTTGATGCCTCACCCAATCCAAGCCCTTTCACTCTCTGCCATTTTTGTCTCTGCTCTTGCTCTGACTGTGCTGAGTCCTGCAAGAGCAAACTGCACCTTTTTTGTCCCTTTATCTCTGCTCCTTCCTCTGCCTCTCCCTTCCCACCTTAGGATCTTCCCACTTACTCTAATGACAAGGACAGATGTAATCTAGCAGGGACATACTACTTCCATCCTCATGCTGTTCTCTTTCCTACCAGTCTCATGTCTCCTGCCTTTTGTCTATTATGGATCTATCCCTCTTCATCTTCTACTCCCTAAATCCCATCCTTACCCCTTCCTTCAGCTGCTTTCTCTTTCTCTGCCATCCTTGGCTTTGCAACATCCAATCCCATCTCCCTCCTCCCACTTATCTCCAAGTGAATCTGACCTTTTATTTGACAATAGAAGATGGGTGGGGTGGGGTGGGGTAGGGAGGGAGTGTTTTTACTGAGAAGTAGCTTAAAGGAAACATCAGGGTTTGGGAGAAAGTTAGGAATGAGGCTTATAGGGGTAGTGGGTGGGCTCTGATATAGGCAGGCATGATTAGGGGTATGAGGATTCAATGTAGGCATCCTGGATCCTTGAACTGATTATTTCCATACTCTCTAAATACTGGGGTTTAAGAGTTGCAGGATTCCTGCCCAAAAGGTGGGACATGGACAACTTTGTTGTGTCTCTTACTGAGGGCCATTTGCCTAGGGATGACTAGTTCTCTTATGCAATAAGCAGCAGCATAAGAGACCCCCCCACTTCATTTTGGGCTCCTGCGTGTTCCTTTTAAACAACTCCAGTCCCATCTTATCACTGCATGTGCCAATCAGCTTGTGAAGCGTGTTTGTTCCCGTGAAGCATGTTTTGTAATTTAGAACAGCTTCTTTAACAATGACTCCAGTCTGAAAGCCAGAGCGTCTCTTGGCTTTGTTACATGGCTCTGTGGGACACCCAGCTTCTGAGCAACATGGTGTTTTCTGGACTGTGTGGTCAGGGCTTGTGGCGGTGGAAGCTGTTTCAGAGACCTTGTTCTTATCAGACAGTTCACCCCTGGTCAGCCTGGTTTTTTGAGGTTAACCTCTTTATCAGCTCACAGCACTGAGGCTTGTTAGCTCTGGCTTTCCCCAGCAGCACCCTGCAAAAGTGGGCCACGTTCTATCCAGGGACAAGCTTCCCTTGTTACTGGGTGTTAGCTGCTCCAATTAGATAGGAAGAGGAAAGGTTTCCATGTCTCTCTGAGTAATATTGTCCTCACCCTTTCACCTCCTCTCCTCTGCGTAATGGCAAGTGGAGGGCAGAGAGATGGGGAAGCGCTTGAAAGTCTGGTCACAGCTAGCTACCAAGATGCCCCCACCAGCCCTCCTTCTCCCATGCTATAGTATCAGGGTTTGGGTTAGAAAAGCAACAGCAGTTAACTCTTTATGGTCTGAATACTTCAAGCACTCACTAGCCTAAGGAGTGGACTTCCCAAAGCAGCATCCAAACCTGGTGCTCCCTGTTCTTATTTAATAGCTCTTTCCCTCCCAGGGTCCATGGCACCCCAGTGTAGGCTGTTGCCTTAACGCAGTGATGCTCAACCAGGATGTCACAGCACCCTGGGATACCTTGAGATCCTTTCAAAGGTGCCGTGGTATGCTACACAGTGTTAACACTGCTAGGTTTACAAATGTGATTCACCCAGATAAACCCAGACATTTCAAATAGGAATCCATAGCAGTGGTCTCTGAGCATTTTTTGCAACAGAAAAAGTGCTCTGTTATTTTTCTCTAGTC